TCCTGATGAACTGATGAACAGAGGATGTTTGGGGTGGACTTTCTTCCTGAAAAACATGTTAAAGCTATTTTTCCAACTCATAAAGTACATAAAGCCGAGCTGCTCTCTAGCTTGAAGCTACAGAACAGAGCAGATAAACAACCAGAGCGCCGAGCAGCAAAACAGCTGGACCTCAGTTTGATCTAGAGTCCAGATTTCTGCGTTTATGTGTTAACGCTCATAACGCCTTCAGCATCAACGCAGCATCAGTCTGCGGTTTGGAATCTGCTTGCAAATCGCTTTGGAGCAGCAGATTGAGATTTCATGGAGTCTGTGGTAAAGACCAGACCGCATCACTCGTCTAAATTAAAGCCTACTTAAAAACATCTCTGATCAGGGAAGGTCCAGGCCTGTTTAAGCTTTGAGCTCATGTTTAAGGGGAATGCAGTTAAGCGATGATTTGGGTCACATGGCAAGTAGTAAGAATGCCATAAGGAGTTACTGAGTTAAACATTTACTGTTTTAAATCCTTACAGTATAACCAGCTATGACCTCAATGACCTCACCTAAAACCTCTTTCACACTTTGACTATTCAGACCAGCGTATGCCTGACGTACGAAAAATCTGGCAGAAATCCTGGAATACGTTGGATAAGTTATGGGTATGTTTTTTGTAAGTTATGAGCACATTGAAGTACGCTGAAGCACGCTGAAACACGTGGACATACGGCATATGACATATGCCAGCGTCTGCCATATGTGGGGCATAAGTTGCAGGTAAGTGATCTGATTGTACGTTAAGTGTAAGTTACTCATAAGTCGTGGCATCTAGCTTATCCAAATTCTTTGAGTAACGTGTGCATAACGTCTGCGTAACTTATCAAGAACTTCTCTCCAACGGATATCAAGGTATCTGACATGTTCCAGACGAGCGCTGAACGTGTTTCTAACTTCCAGCTACTGTATAATGGCGTATTGGCAGCGTTTTGGTACAAAGGGGTTCACAGGAGGAAACCATCAGTTCTCCTCTATACTTCATCCCCATCATAGGGTGAGCCAGAAGGGCAGAGTGATGGATCCTCCCTGCGTTCACGCCCACCAACAACACACTTTCTAACCGACATGACTGAATCTACTGCGACTGGTTAATATCACGATCAAAGACAACTTTATCTGCAGACCGAGCTCCTCCAGGCGCATCGCTGCCCCCTTCAGCACACTGACTCAGGCATCATTTCATGACAATCAGATGCAGTGCATTATGCATAAGCTAGGCTGTCGTTGGACATAAGTTCTGGCCTATTTATGAGTACTCTCTGTATACGCCTAAAATTGAAAAAATACATAGAAAGTTCAGCGTATGGCAGCGTTTTAGGAAATTCTGGGACGTCAGGCATCACTGGCTAAATCAGCAAGGTGTGAAAGGTGCCTAAGGTTGAATGAATCCTGATCGTATTACAGTATTCACATACATGAGATTATTTGCTGCAAGCTTTGCAACAAATTCACTTCAAATGGTTTGTTGAACCATTAGAATAAGTATTATTGTGTGTAATAAATATGTAGATGAAATGAGAGAGCAGAAGGCTGCAGTTTGTGTTTCAAGTTATTTAAGCTAGAACATTTTTTTTTAAATCCTGGTCTTACTCCTTGCCTGAGCACGCTTAGTTAATAAGTTAACTTATGACTTATAAATATCTCCTCTGAGGATTATAATCATAATGCAAATCAGTAACCAAAGGTTCCTACAAGATCTATGCAGGGTGAGGAAGGAGAACAGAACGGAAGGCTTTCCTGTACTATTACAAACACTTTATTCACTTAGGATATGCCTCCTGGGAAAAAGGGTGTGTTTAAAATAGCAAAGACGTATCCACTGCTTGTTCACCACAGCTTATAATGCAGGTCGTTAAATATTTATTTATTTATTTTATTTACGTGTTTATTTGAACAGGGACAGTGCACATTAATAAACATTTCTGTAAATGAGCCAGTGTTAGCTAAGTAGCTAATTTTCAACTGTAGTCCCTGGGCAAGGTTTAAAATGCCAACATAATAAAAACAACAACATTAAAAATTAGTGCAAACAATAAAATACATAGGTAGTAATCTACATAAAAGTTGGACATTGATCTGTAAAAAACAAAGACATTATTACAAATATAAGATTTAAAAAAACATTGACAAAAGTGCATCAGACAGGCAGACGGAAGTTATTGATTATGATTACAGGTTTGATTCTCCTGTAACCATGCTTTTAACATTAACAGTTCTGTATGTGTCTGCATTGCGTATATGAGTTGGAATGGTGTTCCAGGACTGAGCTGCTCGCACTGAGAAGGCTGACTGACCAAATGAGCTTTTTCTCAGTGGGACTGTAAGGTTATTAGAAGAGACAGATCTGGTGAGTCTGCTACCTTGTGTGAAAAAAGCGGTAAGTGGTGGTGGAGCAAAGCCATGTAAAATTTTAAAGACCAGATTTGCATCATGAAATGTAACTAAATTTTCCCAGTTTAACAGGACATGTTTGTCCAGTATACTACAATGATGAAAACAAAAGGGTTTCCTGTCCAAAACCTTTAGAGCCTGCTTGTAGACAGACTGGATTGGTTTTAATGTTGTTTTACAGCCCTGTGACCAGCTGCTAAGACAGTATGTTAAATGAGGCATAATCATTGCGTTAAAAAACAATTTTGCTGCATCTGTGTTCAGATTATTTCTTATGTATCTGAAGTTTACAAGGTTGAGTTTGACTGAGTGACTTTCTTTACATGTTTTTTAAATGTGAAACTTGAATCCAGAATGAGTCCAAGATATTTATACTCTGACACTACTGTGATGGACTGGCCTGCAACAAACACATCTGGGTCTGAGCAGTTTGATACTCTTTTTGTAAAGAACATAGATACAGTTTTTGTAACATTTAAATGTAAACATGAGTTGTGGAGCCATTTTGATACATGTAGCATGGTTTCAGAAAGTTTTTTGGCTACTTCTTCCTTGGTCTTACCATGTACATAAATTACAGTATCGTCTGCATACATTTGTATCTCACATCCTTTGCACACAGAGGGTAAGTCATTTATATACAAACTGAACAGAAGAGGGGCCAGTATTGATCCTTGCGGCAGGCCCACATTATTTCTCATGTAAGATGACTGTTCATTATTGACTCTAACAGCTTGTGATCTGTTTTGTAAATATGATTTGATCCAATTTATAGCATCAGGAGAGAAATTAAAGAGTGTTAATTTTGTGAGGAGAACATCGTGGCTGATGGTGTCAAACGCCTTTTTCAAGTCCAGGAATACAGCTCCAACTACTCCCCCCTTGTCCATTTTAGTTTTTACAGTTTCAATAAAGTAACAGGTAGCAGTTTCCGTGGAATGATTGGCACGAAAGCCAAACTGCATAGGATGTAGCTTAAATGAAGAACTGTTCAGGTGTGACATTAGTTGATCTGCTACACACCTCTCCGCAATCTTTGAAACTACAGGGAGGATGCTGATTGGCCTGTAGTTTGCCACCTCATTTGAATCTCCTGATTTGAAGACTGGCGTCACAATAGCTGGTTTCCATACTGCTGGATATAATGCTTGTTCGAAGGATGAATTTATCATGTTTGTAATAGGGTTCGATAGTCTCTTTGTGTTTTTTCAACAGTAGTGAGTCCTGTTTGAAAGCGTCTTTTGATTTGGAATTTTTAAGACAGTCTATGATTTTATTTACTTGGGATTGAGAAACCTTATTAATAAAAAATACTGGTAGAGTTGTATCTAATGGCTCGACGTTGACTGAGTCTGCAGGTGGACTATGAGTTAGTGACTTGACAGAGTCTATGAAGTACTCATTGAAAGCAGTAGAGGTTTGAAACGGGTCTTGTGTCATGTGACCATTTATATGCAGCAGTCATTGGACCAGAGGCGGAGGACACCTTCACTGCAAAAACCATCTAGAAATAGGTCAAAACGTCTTAAATTAGATGCATTTTCCCTTAATTTGAGCAGGTAAATAAGATGATTTGCCAATGGAATGATTATTTTTACTAAGAAAATAAAATTAATAGATAATATGGACTTGAAATAAGATGATGCACTCATTGTAAATGTAAATTGTCTTGCTCCATTGGCAAAAATGACTTATTTAGATTTCGTTTTTTTGCTGTGTTGGACTGCTGGACGATCTGCCACAGAACAACTAAGCATACATAAACACAATTAAAGAGACTCAGTCTGACAATGGTTCATTCAAATATGAATACATATGAGTAATAGTACTTTATTTCAAATGTATTTTTAAATATAAAAATAAAAAAACAACCACAGGTAATTTTGGAAAACCCAGCTGCCTGGAAGGTTCAGTTAGATTCAACTTTGAACTCTGGCTTTGTGCTTTAGGTGTACGTTTTATTTTATTTATCCAGGATGTCTTTGTACAGTACTGGACTCTTTGTTTTAACTCTGACCAGTTCCCACTATCGAAACAAACCCACCAGTTTCATGCTTCTGGGTAAAGAAACCCTGGTATTTTTATGCTCTCGACCACACTGCTCTGAAAAGGATGCAAAAAAATTATGCAAAGGCGAAAAGGCAACTGTCATCCGGCTCCACAGGCGGCCCCGTCCAGGAAACACACAGCCAGGCAGACGAATTCCGAACCAACTCCATGTCAGAGGATGAAGAGAGCACATCCAGTTAGTCACAGAGAAACAGGACTACACTGAAAAACAGGCCAAGGTCCGTATACATATACATACCTACACACGTGTGTAGGTATATATATACATACACACAATTTTTCATCCTTCATTTTAAGAGTCTGTGTACCACAACTCTAGGTAGGATTTGATCACCAAATTAGTTAATTTCAATGCTCTAATTTAAGATCATGATTGATTTTTATAATTTAGAATAAGATCTGTAGTTCTACCCTAAGCAATGCCAGCATGAAAAACATTTATCCATGGATCACCTCACACAAAAGCTACCATGGCTGCAATAAATAAACAAAAAACCCAAAAATGTTTTCATGGACTTTAATTTATTCACAGACACAAACTCACAAGGATCATTTTCCACAACAAAGATTTCATTTCTGCACATAGTTTGGGGGAATGTTCAATATTCTTTATATACTTTTACCAACAAACACAAATAATGTAAACATACATCTTTATCTGATAGGTGAGTGAAACCTCTGTAATATATTTGAGTTTGAACACCTCTCAAAAAAACAAGAAAAACCAAAAACACAGAAAGCAGCTTCCTGCAAATAGCAATGAAAACAACATGACAATAAAACCAGCAATACGGGATTATTACGTCCATTTAATGATGTTTTAATCTGTTAATCTATACATAAATCTTTATCTGGTTTCCAACAAGCTGCATTCATTAAAAATAATATTGATGGAGGAGCAGAATAAATAGAGACCGATTTAAAACTACATCGATATGCTCACTGTTTGCACTTAAAAGTCGATAGAAGAACCACCAAAACTTTCCACTCATGAACACAGATAAACTGCAGCAGAGTCACATACTGGAAAGGTCTCTGTCCTTATGGAGGGGGAGGGAGGGAGGTGTGGGTGGTGTTTGAAGGGCAGATGTGATTCATGGAAACAAACAGACTGGAGGCTAAAAAAAAAAAAGTAAAGCTGGAGATGAAAGGAGGTTTGATGACAAGCTTCCAGCTAAGGAGAGGAGAGGGTGAACACTTTGAAGGGCGCCTTAGTGACGGGCAGCAGATTCTCTGGGGTAGAACTCGGCCAGGGTGCTCTGAGGAATCCTCTTCAGCATCTCCTTGGGGAAAATTCGCAGCAGCTGCCAACCGATGTCCAGGGTTTCATACACAGTCCTGTTGTCATACGGGCCTAAATGGAGAACAGGAGAAGAACAAACAGCGTTAAGCAGGGCTACGATGTGAGCAGTTGTGCTCACGCTCTAAATGTACCTGAACTTGAACAACACATTTCCAATTCAGCCAAGTCCAACAGAACCACAGGTTAACCTTTTGTTAAACATCAAACATGCAACAACAGTCCAACAGTTAGCAGAAGCTTCTTTAGGTTAAGAAAAATGTCACTGGTTCACCTGCCTGCTGATTTCTCTTTGCCAGAATCTTCACATGCATCCCTGCAAAAGGAGTTTTCACAACAAGCTGCAGAGTAAACGGCTGGTTATCCTCCAGCAGCAGTGTGTCGCAGTGAGCGTGTCGCAGATATTTTGGATTCATGCCCAATATTGAAGCGTGGTCTGCACTATGTTATTCCACGCCACAACGCAAGAGGGCCAATCAGGAACTAGCTGTGTGTCTAGATACGGCCAAGGCGGTGAGGAAGTGAGGGCAAGTTTGTGCGACAATGGAGGGACATGAGGGCCAAAAAGAGCGGAGATCCAGGTGGAAAAAGGCTCCCAGTTTTTTCACGCACCTCACTCTTCTACCTGGTCCATCTTCACGAGTTGTTTTCCAAAATGGCGGTCATAGAAACAAAGAAAGCCACTAAGCTACCAAACAGGAAATAAGCATAGTGTAGAGCTGATGTAGATTTGACCAATCGGAGGCCTCCTGTCTGCCGTCACCTACAATTTTGAAGAGGTGCAGCACAGTGTCTGTGGAAGGGGGGGAGGCATTTGCGTTCACTGCGACACACACAGACGACCTGGTTTCTGAGTATAAATCTGCCCTTACTGGTCGGCCTCCTACTTGGAAAATAAAAATACTTTTTTGTGTCAGTAGATGAAGACCAGAGAAACGGCGTTCCTCAGGAATCTCATCCTGGAGCCCCTCCTGTTCAATATCTACATGCTTCCTTCCCCACTGGAGATTATCATAAACAATGACACAGAGGAGTCAGCTGTGAGCATGTCAGAGGGTGACTGGATAAATGCAGAGAGGAGATCAAAAATGTTCTTAAGCTGAATCAAAACTAAAAAAAATGTGTTTGGACCAAAGGAAGAACATTTCAAAGTTTCAGCTAATCCAGCTAGAAAAGCAACAACCAGGCTCTAAATCTGACCTGAAACTTCAGAGGCTCATAGAGACGAGAACAAAGTGGATCTTTATCACCAGAAGAACATCTCAGGGATTAAAGGTCTAATGTTGCCCTGCCCACCAATATGCTCCTAAGTGCTTTTTTTTATATTAAAACTATGAACATTCATTTAGAAACCTATTCCATCAAACACTAATTAGTCAGAAAGGACCAGCCTCTATTCATTAAAGATCTTCTTACCTTGAGCGATAAAATTCTTCTCAAACTTCTGCAGGAACTCCAGATAAAGCAGGTCATCGGAGGTAAGGGCCTCTTCTCCCACCACAGCCTTCATGGCCTGGACATCTTTACCGATGGCGTAACAGGCATACTGGAGGCAGACAGACACATCATGGTCACTCTTCAAACATCACTGCCTGCATTTCAAAAAGTGGCTAAGGTTCCTTACCAGCTGGTTGGACACATCAGCATGGTCTTTCCTGGTCATCCCTTCACCAATGGCAGACTTCATTAGACGAGACAGAGAGGGCAGCACGTTGATAGGAGGGTAGATCTAAAAGACAGAAGCATACAGTGCATAAAAACGGCAAGACAACAAAAAATACATTATTTCCAGTTTGTTTAAGAACGATAAAGAGAGCAGCTATGCCAAAGGAGACCTCTATCAATAAAAACCGTTCCAGAACAGCTGTATACCTCGCACAGACCTAAACACAATAATATAAGCCCCATTGACATTACTCTTTTGAAATCATGTCGATCATCAGATCTGACTCGTGAGCAGACGGTGTCATCTCCTTTGGCTACGTTCAGACCGCACGCAGCAAGAGCAGCTGCTTCATTTTTAATGCTTGTACAAGTTTAGTTCTGGCTCGCGGCTGAAGCATCTTTGCTGCTCTAGATGTGCGGTGGAAAAGTGGGACTGATGCTCGTTGGGCATAGCTTCCCTATCCTTTCTTTGCCTGTAACATTGGCAGCTATATTTGCTTTGATTAGTGGGTAAAAAGTAGTTCTAATATATTTTTAAGTGACAAAGTCTTGAAAACATGGTCTGTACAGTCAGTTCATCCAGATTACCATCCTTCCTTCAAATATAATTTATCTGTCGGAGCGGCTCAGACCCGCACATACCGGCCGTACGCTGTCACTGAGAATCCCATTCAACTAGCCCAGTCATCTCTTTGCGGTTTTCTGCTACTGTTCGCGGCGGTTGGAAGTAGATGTTAGCATTTTTCATGTACGTAATTCAAACTGCAGGAACCAGAATGATAAAATCAAAAATTTGTTCGGCAGGTTTCTAAATTTTAAGTTATTTTAGGCATTAATAAACTGTTTCAGAGGAGTGATCATAGCGCTCTGCATCAGCAGCGCTGTGTCTCTCTCCCTGCCAGCTCCCAGATCAGCTTCTCTGATTGGTTGATGTGGTGTGTCCAGCAGCAAAAGTTCCAGTTTTCCAACTCCAGCAGCTGCTGCTTCTGAAGCGCATCTGATGCTCAGAAGCTCATGAGGCGCTGCGGGACCTTTTGCTGCACCTGTCAAGCATTGACTTTGCAGGTAAACCAGCTGCTTCTGCTGCCTCTGCTGTATGCGGTGTGAACGTCGTATAAAAGTCATTCTCTGTAATGATAAACTTTCAGACATTCATAAAAATACTAGCTTTCCTACCGTGCCACACAATTTCCAGTGATGATTCTGCTTAGCAGTGTGTTAAACCTCAATGTCTGTCATTTTTTCCAGGGTCTGTAGGCCCTGATTAGACTATCGTTATTGTATCAACTTCCAAAAACAGACTCTGTCAACTAAAATTCACCAAAGGTTGCCTTCTTTGCACGACTCTCCGCAAACATCCTGAATGTTACAGGTGCCGTGTTGATTTGCTTGTTTCCCTCTAGAGCGCAGTAGTACTGTAGATCGGCACAAGGAAGCGAGGAACCGCGCTAGCGTAGTGTGTAAACGGTCATAAGGAACCAAGCTCAGAGCGCTTATCAGAGGGTAGTGTAAACGGGGGCTATAGAAGCCTCATGTACCAGTGATTTGGTCCTCAGGCACGGGAGATTAGTCAACATCAGTCCAAATCATTTTTATAATACGTTACTTAGATAAATAGTGCCTAGTTCATCTCTTCAAAGGAGTCATCATCCAAAAATCTGATTTAAATATGAAAATGTGTACGTTAGTGCTGGGCTTCAGTTAAAACTATTCTCTTTAATTAACATCAATCCGGAAAAGGTTCTGACATGAGCCCGGATTGCTATCACCAATCAGGGAATAAACTGCAGGTAGATGGTCAGTCCCGCTGCTGCTGGTTCAACTTTTCACCCATTGTGTTAGAGGCTAGGGTTAGCTAAAGCTGCTAACGCTACATTCATGCAATTCCAAAAAAGTAAAATGTTTTTATTTCCACTCTATTAAACGCCTTGAATTCAACGTTATTCCTGACATTTTGAATAGAAAAAGCTTCCTGGATGGGAAGCGAAACATCTTCTTCATGTTTAGAAAACATGCTAATTGAACCCCAAAAACGGGTCCACCTCTATGAAATGGGGAGCATTCGGCTTCTTTATTAGCCTGCAAAGCCCCATACCTGCCAAAGCCAAAACAAAGCTTTGTTGGTCTACTGTATAAAACTTCGAACTCAACACCATTTCTAACATTTTGAATTGAAGAAGCTTCCTGGATGGGAAGCGAAACATTTGCCAACTTGTAAACAAAATCCAGTGGATTGTTTTCTAACTTTTTTGGAATGACTGACCTGGATGACTGAGAATCTTCACCAGTACATTCATGTAAGTGCATTTACAAGTCAATTCCACACTCCATCGAAAAAGATTCCTCCTAAAAATTATTATAGATGAATTTATAGACAATTTTACAAGAATGTATATATAAAATACCAGGTTAGGACTCCTTTAAGTTGCTAAAGTTACGGGTAATGTTCTAGACTTTTGGTAACTTGTGCAGTTTGGAAAACTTTCACTGACTCACTAACGGAAAGAAGTGATTAGCACTGTTGTTTACTGTAGTGTCTGATTGGTAGCCGCTAGTATTGGTAGCTGCTAGTATTGGTAGCCGCTAGTATTGAACAAAAAAATCTCACCAGTTTTACCCCTCCATGATATAGAAGATTTTTCTTAAAAAAAAGGATTCAGAACTTCCTTTTTTCTTTAAAGACCATGTATAGTTAATACAACTATTCCTTATATGTGCACAGTAATCATGTTTTTGATAAAAGTTCTTATGCTAAAATGCCATCAGAACGCTTATAATATAAAGTGTCTTTGCCTATGGCCCTAAATTTCCTAAATCTGCCCCCGACTCCAAGCTCAGAGCAGAAATTATGCATGAAATGAATCTCCTACCTGCCTGTTGTGCAGCTGCCTGTCCACGTAGACCTGACCCTCTGTGATGTAACCAGTCAGATCAGGAATTGGATGGGTAATATCTGCAACACAAAAAATGGACATTTAAAAAAAAAATGATCCAGAGAACAGAGATCAACCTGCAGTCTTGATAAAAGAAGAAATAGTGTAATAAACCAGCGGTTCTTCCTGCTCACCGTCATTCGGCATCGTCAGAATAGGGATCTGGGTGATGGAGCCATTTCTTCCCTCTACTCGACCAGCACGCTCATAGATGGTGGCCAGATCGGTATACATGTAACCTGGAAATCCTCGACGGCCTGGCACCTCCTCCCTGGCAGCAGACACCTGACGGATGATAAACAGAGAAAAAGTTGTGAAGGCAGAATAATGATCAATGCTCCCTCTTATTGAGGATCATTGTGAGCAACATGAGATGTGCAGGCTGTGGCCACACCATTATTACACCTGCTAATTAAACACTTGTTCATAGCAAGTGAGACTGGTCATTAAAGGAAAAACCCGCATATTCAGAATTCAAAATTCTGAATGTGTTTCGCTTTCAGACGACCAAGAGCAAAACTGACAAAGTCATGAAATTAGAGTAAGAGGGACGAAAAATGCATCCCATTTATCATTCGATTCAAAGGTTGATGGGTATGGCACACTCATAAACAGCCAACTCAACGTAACAAAAAAGGAAAAAAAAACTCAACCTTCACATGTGAATAAGAGCAGAAGTAGGCGATAATACCCTGGCTCTTTGTACGCACTGAATCACCCATAAAGCTGTCTGAGTATTAGCTGACGATTGGCGCAGCTGTACGTGGACCAAGGTTATGTCCAGGCACCACAGAAAATGGAAAATTAATGTTCAACATTTAAAGACATCAATTTTGCTGCCAACACATCGAGACGGCAAACTGTACAACATGAAAAAGGGTATTACAGCAACACAATAGATCCAGACGAGTCTAGATTCTGCTCAGCTTCTTTTCTATTTAAGTTTAGTTCTATTCAGTCATAGAAAAGAGCTCTATTTAAGATCCTCAACTATCTTCATCTTTAATCCCTCATTTTTAATAAACCCCACTATTCAACTTATTTTTGGAATTCAAACTTTTTTTTTTTTTTTTTTTAACTGAGGACAAAAACACCGACACCTGGGAGGCTTCACCATTAAAAGTATCACAATAATCAATAACCAATCGATAAAATTATAAGAGTACTATCATTATCACAAACTATTAGTGGTAGTACTAAGAGTACTATAGTACTAAGAGTACCATTATTGATTATAATACTAATTAACACTAGTAATCGGGATTACTCCTACAAAACCCTGACAGCCCAGGGAGAATAAAATAGAACAAAGGAGTAAATCATGATAATCTAATAAAATAAAACTAACTCAAAATGGGGAAAGAATTTAAACGATTAAACATCTTCAAAGAATCTGCTAGTTAATGACTTGATTTGTGATAATCATATTTATTTATGTTGCCTTACAGAAACCTGGCTGCAGCAAAAGGATTATGAGAGCATAACTGAGGCAACTCCTTCAAGTTATTTAAATTTTCACATACCGTATTTTCGCGACTATAAGGCCCATATAAACGTCTTTTTTTCCCCTCAAAATGTGCGGCGCGCCCTATGTGTGTTGTTACTGCAGACGTTGTTGAGACCACCATGAGAACGTTAAAGGGGGGAAGTGTGGGCGTGGATTGGCTGCCACGCAAATGGACAGAAACTGCCGCCTATGGTGATTTTTAAGCGAAAGACTTTGCCATGCGTGCCCATCTCACAGCCGATGTGAAAAACAAGGTGAAACAAATGAACGCTGTGCTCGCCGTTATTCTGGGAGATCTGACAAAGGAACTTCAACCGCTCGACATCGGTGTGAACCGGCCGTTCAAAGTAAGGCTGCGATCGGCGTGGGAGCGATGGATGACCGACTGAGACCACAGTTTCACCAAAAGTGGAAGGCAGCGCCGGGCAAGTTACGCCACAGTTTGCGGATGGATTGTAGATGCTTGGGCTAACGTGTCTGCTGGGACTGTTGTTCGAGCTTTCGCAAAAGCCGGCATTATTTCCGAGGAGCCGCCCGGCACGGAAAGTGACTCTGACAGCGAAGAAGGGGAAATTGGCATGTCTGATTTAGTGGAGCTGTTTAATTCAGAAACAGAGGATGATGACTTTGATGGGTTTGATTAATACTTTGTAATAAATACATGAATAAAGCACAATCATACTCAGTTTTGCTCCCGCTCTATTTTTAAATACACAGTAGAGGTATTTAAACGTAGTAGAGGATATGTAACCCGCGCCCTATTATCCGGTGCGCTTTATGTGTGTGTTAAATACAGTAATGGCACACATAACTGAGAGTGTGCCTTTTAGTACGGTGCGCCTTATGGTCGTGAAAATACGGTATGTAAGCATAAATGAGGCAACTCCTTCTAGTTTTTTAAATTTTCACATACCCAGAAGTTCTGGGCGAGCAGGATCAGCAGCAACAATCTTTCAGTCTGACTTACTGATTACTCCAAAGGCAGTCAATAATTACAACTCTTTTGAACATCTAATCCTTAGTTTCCCTCATCCAAATTGCAAAGCCAGAAAACCTCTTTTTCTAACTTTGTATTGTCCACCAGGTCCTTACTCTGAATTTTTAGATGAGTTTTCAAAGCGTCTATGTGATTTGGAGTTGAATACTGACAGGGTCATCATAGTGGGGGATTTTAACATCCATGCTGTCATTGAAGCTGATGGCTGAAGAGCAGCCTTTAATGTCATCTTATCCACTATTGGCTTTGTTCAAACCATGAATAGCCCCACACATTCTCATCTTCATACTTTGGACCTTGTGTGGACATATGTCATTGAATGTGAAGAAACAGTATAACAGCACTCTTATTAAACCAGGGCTAGTTTTCCATAGCCACTGAAAAGCCTCTAGCTTTTGAAAAGCTGGATGGTGCGTGTAATTTTCCTTTCCCAGGGCTTTGAACCTTCTTCAGACCAAGTACTTTTTGGGCTTTCGAGGGGTGGTATGTGTACAGCTGCAACTTTAGACAAACCAGCTTTACTCCTCCAGCAGTTGTAGTAGAAGGTGAGTTTACAGTGTTGGTTTTCATAAGTTAAGCCTGTAACAAAATATGATTCAAGATGTTTCAAAGCGAGAAAGTACGACTCAATAAATCACCTGTGTAGCCAGTTTGTCAAGAAATAGCCTCTGTGTCACAGAGGTTAGAGCCCCTTGTTCAGGTTGGCTGCCTGCGCCGGGGTATGGAGAGGAACCTCAAGCTAACCGCAGCCGTGACGTCAACCAGTCAGTCGGTCATTACCAATTAAAAAGTAACTTAAAGATGTTTTTAAACGGATAATCCATTTCCATCTGTATTCCTGTTACCTGGGTAATCCAAAACCTTGAACTTTCAGTAGAACAGGAGAATAGTGACAGTACCATCAGACACAAAGATCTATTGAAACCATTGTGGATGAAATATGTTTCAAAACCCTACAATGCAGCAATTGAGTTGATCCCTTCCAGCTATCATGGCAACCCCAACCCCTTTACAGGGGAACAGAAGACCTCGCCTATTCAGCAAGGCCAACAATTCCCTTTAACGACCCTCCTTTCAGAGAGGGACAGGTATGGGGCATTGCTGGCTAACAAAAGAAGCCAAACGACCCCCATTCGAAAGGGGATGGACCCGTTCATCTGTTGTTGTGCTACTGTATAAAACCTCAAACACTATTTCTGACATTTTGAATTGAAAAGCTTCCTGGATGGGAAGAGAAACGTCTTCAAACTTGGAAACAAAGTCCAGTGGATTGTTTTTTTTTCCGTTTTTTTTCAGAATGATTATGACCTGGATGACTGAGAATCTTCACTAGCATGGCTCAAATATGTTCAAGTCAATCAGTCCTATTTGCTTTTTTTTTTTTTGCAGTAGTAGTTAAGAGATTTATAAATGTAATCTGAGGCGTATCTTAGGTTTTCAAAAGGACTTTCAAGCATTTAATCAATAACACAAAGTTAAAGGAAAATTCCGGTTTTTAACACTTTTAGCCCATTTTCTGTAGTGTCCAGGATGAAATCGAATGATCGACACCAAAATTTTGACAATTGGTCCTGTCTCTGCTATTTGGCTCATGCAGAATCTCCCCCCTGGCTGCTTCAGAATGGCTTCCATAGTGCATGTCCGATAATGTCCTTAAAACAACCTTAAACGTTCTTTTTTTAAAATATGTTACTCACCGTGTCGTCAGCGCTGTTCAATGACGTTCCAAAAAAAGTTTCGTAAAGAAAAAACGTTCCTGTAGTGTTTTATTTAGGATTTTGGAAATCCCATTGAGTTCTGTTGGAATAGTCAATATCCCTCCGCCACCGGAAACGGAAATGGGGCCTGTTTACACAGTTGTAGTCTTTTCGCTTCACTCTGTGTACTCCGACGTCGAGGTGCTAACGTCTCTGTTAAACACTTTAAAAAACTCTGAAAATGGAATACAAAAGGTGGACTCTTGAGGAGGACATATTGGACTTTGAGTTTGACGGTAGAGGATACCGTTTTGAACCGGAATATACTGAGGAGGAGTATATAGAGACATTGTCGCCAACTAGTGGTCTGGAGTGTGCAACGCTTCAGATTCGAACGGGAAGCGGAAGCTTATAAGCGGTTGTGATGTATCGGAAAAAATAGTTCTGGGATTTACAAAATGCTAAATAAAACAAGACAGGAACGTTTTTTCTTCACGAAACTTTTTTTGGAACGTCATTGAACAGCGCTGACGACCCGGTGAGTAGCATATTTTAAAAAAAGAACGTTTAAGGTTGTTTTAAGGACATTATCGGACATGCACTATGGAAGCCATTCTGAAGCAGCCAGGGGGGGATTCTGCATGAGCCAAATAGCAGAGACAGGACCAATTGTCAAAATTTTGGTGTTGATCATTCGAATGCATCCTGGACACTACAGAAAATGGGCTAAAAGTGTTAGAAACCGGAATTTTCCTTTAAGCATCAAGCGAGGCTAAAAAAATGTTTTTTTAATTGTTTAGAACAAGAATTAACCTAACATAGTAAGTGGTTATAGTGGGCATTCTGTTATTCCTTTGCTTTGCAATCTTATTTGCAATTGGATGAATACTTGTGGAACCCTTAGAGCTTAACAGGTTAAATTAAAGTTTAGGAGCATTTCAGATTGATTTTCTATGTAAAACCTCAAGTTACGACTGTTTTAGGAACACTGCTGTTGAACTCTTCCATGTTCTGAATCACAGACGTACCTTTTGGTCAGGATGCTCACCAGTCACCTTATTTAACTCTGGCACTGCCTTTTTCCATTTGCATCTACAAACCCCCCCACACTAAGACTAGTGTAAATATATATTGAATCGATACTCTGTTCCAAGTGACACCTGGAATTAATTCAGGAGAGGGAACATGAATCCATGTTAAGCAGCCAAACATGTTACAAACATAATTTCAAGCACACAAAACGTTTTGTTACCCTTGAAACAAATATTTCAGGACAGTTTAACCTCAATGACAGCTTTATTCAGCCCCATTTCACGAAAAAAAAAGGCCAATAATTTGATTAAATTACAGCGTTTAGGAGAACAATGTAAATACCATCACTGCTAAAGTGAAACAATTAATGAGAAACATTTTTAAAACCACCTGAAGTCATCCAGTAAACTGTATCGTGTTTGTTAACTTCTGAATAACGAGTGTTTTAAAGTTCTAAGTGAGAAAAATTGCAAGAATGCTCCATTTTGGAGTCACTGATGTCAGACGTAGTTGAAGGGAGACCTAAACTCAATGGCTGAACTCAAGGACGTTCAACAGGCTCAGATGGGGTTAATATCTGTGTATGAGGCAACAAAAACTCCAATTTATCTGGACTTCAGAGAAACACAAAGGCCATTTTTCTCTTTGATGGGAAAAATGGTGAAGACAAAAAGGCAGCATTTCAGTGACAGTAGTAAACTATTTGGGTTTTTAGTGCAAGCTTAGAATGAAAGTGACCTGAAGGACCAGAGCAATGGTTCATCCACTGAGGAGTTAGTTTTACAGATCAACGGCTGCGAGGAGAAGCTAATTATACAGACAACGACTCCTTACTGCAACTCTGGAGCTTAATGGCCCTCAGTGATTAAACCATTTCAGCTTTAAAGTATAATTCATCCCAAAATCCACTTATTTTGCATTTCAATATTATTGACTAGATGTCTGAAAACTGCATCACTGCAGGCAATGTGGTTGAAGTTCCGCTGCTTCAAGACAGAGCTACCTATGGAGCTGGTATATCATTACCTTCACTGACAGACACTATTTGTGGATCTGTCTTCCCTTTGGGCATCTCACACAGACTGGTTCTGCTGGAGTTTTTCCTCTCCCTGAGGGCCACTCCAGAGTAGAAGAGAGTCAGCCTCTCATGGAGCTTTGTTCCAGAGTCCACGCTATGCATGGAGGAGAGCCCGACTATTTCTAGCCAGTATCACTCCACTTCCTGCTCAAGCTCAGGCTGCTTCCCCCTCAGTGAGGTGAAATAACATTAAGCTTCCAAGGAGCAAGACTTCAAGGCCCCGCCTCTGACCGCTTCCCAGTCTTCTCTGCACCAGACCCTCATGGGTCACATGAGGGGCTGGTGCCAAACTGGTCCCTTGAGGAAGAACCGCTCGCTGACGAACCCCAACCACAGGCCTGGCTCCAGAGTGGGCTCCCAGCTCTGCCTTATACCGGCCGCTCCCAGACTCCGTGATCGCGACGAAAATTATTTCATTTTTCACTGATAAAATTCATTAAATCACTGCAAACTTATTAGTTTTAGCTAATAATAATGATCCATTGATTATTCCTTGCTGACCAGACTTTTACTTTCAGCACCGCTTTAAAATAGTTAACTTTAACATCTATAATATCAAACTCAAGCTGGCCAATGGATTATCGCAAGATTTGAACAGAAAGACTTTTTTTTTTCATTCCAAAGCACAAACTTTAGAGTAATGAGATCTTGTACCTCTCTGAGTGCCTCAGCGTAGGAGCTCATGTCAGTGAGAATGACCAGAACATGCTTCTCACACTGGTAAGCCAGGTACTCTGCTGTGGTCAGCGCCAGGCGGGGGGTAATGATGCGCTCAATTCTGGTAAGATATGAAAAAAACAAAACACCGTGTTCAAATATCTCTGTAAAAGAAAATAATCCATAGTTGTAAACACTGAAGTACAAGCAGCAGAAACAAAGAGGATGATATAATGGAAACATGAGCATCTTACGTGGGGTCATTGGCGAGGTTGAGGAAAAGACAGACGTTGTCCATGGAGCCGTTTTCCTCAAAGTCGGACTTGAAGAAGCGAGCAGTTTCCATGTTGACCTGAGGCAGAAAGGTTTTAGTTTGAATATGTTGTGCTTTCAGAGCAGTCACAGCATGTTATAGCAATTCTGCACTAGAAAGGAAATAGCAAAAACCTTATTAAATTAAAGTTCTAGAGACACAGTGTCAAAAAGTGCAGCTTAACCAGCCTGGATATTTTTGTTTATTTTAAACCGTAAAAAATAGCCATTAAATGAACCTCCTCGGGACAAGACTGCGGTAAATCTACACTTTATGGTAGGGCTGGGTACTGAACTTCGGTTCTTTTATGGTACCGACCGAAATGCTTCGGTTCTACAGAGTATCGAAACATGCCTCGTCTTTCGGTACCAAGTTTCGGTGATTGGCTGTAACACTTAACGTGATTGCGTCATCCAGGAAAAATACACAGCTGGTCACGCCTACAGCCAGGGTTCATGTGTATCTGTGAAATAGTTGCAATACATCGTGCACGGAAACAATTTAAGAGCAGAAAGTTGCTCGGTGTTTGGCTGCAAGGAGAGCGGACCGCAGCCAGCGCCACCATCCTCCTCACAGCAGCCCGTGGGCAGAGCAAAGCTAGAGCGGAGTGAATCATGCTGCTTTCAAACTGGACGCAGCAGAAGCAGCAAAATCACGTCTGCTGCTTCCTTTTTGCTGCTTGTACCAGTTTATGACGCGCGGCTGAAGCAGCTTTGCTGCTCTGGCTGCGCGGTCCAAAAGTGGCTCTGACGCGTTGCATCTTTGCCTTGCAGCTATATTTGCTGTGATCAGTGGGAATAAAGTAGTTTTATTATGTTTTTAAGTGAGAAAATACACCTGAAACGTAATCAGTGCAGTCAGTTCATCCTGCCTTCCAATGTTTCTGTTGGAGCCGCTCAGACCCCCACATACCAGCGGTGCGCTGTCAGTAGGATCCCATTCAACGGGCTTGTTTGTCAGACATGGTAATTTTTCTAAAGGAAAACTGCTAAGTAAAAAGGTCCTCACAATGTAACAGTGAATATTAGAGACTGAATATTTTATTTTTTATTTTTTTTTATGTAAGAGGAAAAATGTAAATGGAAAAATCAGAGCTTAAGATAAAACTCAAGATTTGTACTTTTTTATGTTGTGTAATTTTCTTTTTCTTCAAATTGATATTATAAAACTGGTATCGAAAAAAGTATCGTCCAGGAACCGGTATCGAAGTGAAGGTATCGGTATTGGTACCGGAACCGAACATTTTTTAACAATACCCAGCCCTACTTTATGAACATTCTTTTGAGGACCAGAATTTTCACAGCTTGAACAAAGAAGACAGGTGGTTTGAGAGGGAGGTGAAGGAAGCCATCTATGTTAAGAAAAAACAACCTTAAACAGAGAGGGTGGAGTCAGATTTCAGCTTTTTAAAACCTACAATACAGCCATAGAGTTGATTCTTCGCTTGAAACAGCAATGTAATAAAATTCACTCCAGGTTTCACTGAAAAACAGAACATTTGACAAGTGGCTTGTCAAATACCAAAGACTGATAAAAACAACACCAACTGGGGAATAGAAAGAAGGATGAGTCCGGCCAAACTGGAGAAACAGATGTGCATCCGCTCCTTTTTAAAATGCATGTTCTTCAAATGCTACCTTCAGAGGACGGCTCGGCTTTTAACCAGACATAAATGTTTGCGTGCGTGCGTTTTGGAGTGGCTCATGTTGTCACAATGAAGGCATTACTGCAGCCAGAAGGAGCAGCTGAGAGGCAGAGAACCTGATACTGCAAGGCTGTCGGTGTGAAAAGGCTGTTGAATAAGGAAGTCGTCTACATGGCTGGAGAATATGCTCAAAAGTGCAGAAGTAAGAAGATGAACTTAAAAGGTTAAATCGCCTGATGAATAAGAGAGCAGGGCTCTAGGAAGAGGGCAGGGTGTCACCTCAGGGTTAAGTGAGAGATTAACAGCACAAATTCAGACAGACTTTAGAAACAGAGCGTGTGGGGGGGGGCTCTAAGTGGTTAAATAGAAACGAAGGTTCAGGGTGTCATTTTTCGGGCTTACCCCCATGGCTGCAAAGACAATAGCAAAGTTCTCAGCGCTGTAGTCCATCACGTCCTTCGACTTCTGCACCAGGCCCGCCTGCCGGCAGATCTGAGCAGCAATCTGAAAGGAAAACCACACACGCCAAGACTCAGTGATTCTTACAGAAAAAAAAACTTTCCACCAGATACTTCAGCTTTATGAGTCTGTATGCATTTGTACTTAATGGTAGACATGCTATTAACTGATTGTTATCAGCTGGGAGGGGGAGTTCAGGAGTTTATGTACCTTTATGCTCCTCCCTGTCTTCATATTTTCAATAACTTAAAACATGGATGATTATGGTGAGATTTCTGTGGACTGGATTGTTAAACATCTGGAGAAAATTTTACTCAATTACATTCATTATTAACCTGTGATGGGTTCAACAGTTCCTTTAACCGATCAATGATTATAAACCACTCTGTGACCTTATCCCAGTGATTAGCTGATATCTTTGCAGTTTTATTTTAGATCATTACATTATTTATAATAATAAATAATTAATTTAAGTGGATGGAAATAAAACCATGAAAGAATAGAAGAACAGAGGGAAGGTCTCACCTCGTTGTGGGGCAGCCCGGCAGCAGAGAAAATGGGAATCTTTTGCCCTCTAGCAATGCTGTTCATGCCATCAATGGCAGAGATCCCCGTCTGGATCATCTCTTCAGGGTAGATACGGCACTGAGGATTAATGGGCTGACCTGATCCAACACACAAACACTTCACATCACTTCCAGTAACTTGCTGTGAACGACCGTAATTCAGTAGATTTTGATGATCTCACAGCCTACAGATAACATCTACATGGGAGACATTGCTGCGAAAAACACTAAGAAGTCTAACCCTTTTTAGTTTTCAAATCAACTCCCTTAAAGAAAAAAAAATAATTTGTGCTGCAAAAGATGAGAGCTGTTAATTTATAATGCCAGCTTATAAAGTCAATTAAATCGCAAATGTTTGATGAACAAATAAACGTCAAATTAAACTTTTGCATAAAAATGGCTGTTTTTACAGACCGCCTCAGAGCTGGACCTTCGGTGTCAGAGGTAGCAGCCTGGTTCTGAGACTCCAGATGTTTTGTAATGAATTACCAGCTTAAAAAGTTGATTTATCTGAGCGAGTCGAATTAATCCCAGGATATAAACTAATCAGACAGCTTTTATTTCCGGGGACTCTCCATTCACAGCTGAAGAAAACAACATCTTCGGTCTCCTATTAGAACATTACTGAAGACCAATTATTTCTAAGCGTAGGAACCAGTAAAATTACTAAAAAAGCTGTCTGACATCTACCATTGCTTCTCACCGTAGTACAGAGACAATGGATTCTAATAAAAAATGTCTCCAGACCTTTACTGGTTGTTAATTCTCTTTTTTTGGACTTTGAATTAGTGACCTCTGACAGAGTAACCATGACTTACTCAAACAGGCCGGCATATATAAAGCTTAACGTGTACAAAGACGGGTTACCACCTTGTCATCCTTTCTATGGCGTTTCATTGGCCCAAAAAGACTGAATGTTCAAATAAAGGTTGGTACCCATGATGTCCAAGTAGTCTTCGGCCAGAACGGTTGGACCGCGGTCGATGGGTTTGCCTGAACCGTTGAACACACGCCCTGAAAAAGAAGATTTTCTTTTTAATCACATCTTCATTTGGATAAATGTCTGCCTGATTTGTGAGGCTGATGAATTCATTAGCAAAACAGCAGCCATAAATTGAAATTGGTTAGATGACTCCCCAGAATGTGTGATCTGTTTCTGCTTTCTGTCAAACTCTTCAGAGCTGCTCTGAGTACGGGTCTGTTGGCTAAACCCACAACTAAGAAGTACAAATACTTAATTATAAATTCAGGGACATGATTAATGACACTTGAATAACAAAAGCAGGTTTCCTGTCTGTTTGCACTCCAGTGTATTTAACCTTGCGCTCACTGAGATAATCACATTGATTGAGACATTCAGGAACATTCAAATGATGGCTTTGATTCCGGCTATTTTTCTTCCTGTTTACTAAGGAGTCAATTGAGGAGGAGAAAATGAAAAAAGGGCCCATATTAACAGCATTTTCTGTAAGCAGATAAATGAAATAAAAAAACAAAACAAGGAGGACTATGCAGCTAAAGTTGGGTCTAAACCAGATCTGAATTATAGTGAGTGAATTAGGAGAACTTGTGGCGATCGTACCCAACATGTCTTCTGACACTGGGGTACGCAGGATGTCGCCGGTGAATTCGCAGGCCGTCTTCTTGGCATCAATCCCCGATGTTCCCTCAAACACCTGAACCAAAGCAAACAGACGGCATGTAGAGGCAGGCCCCAGGCAGGCATCATTAATCTTCACTAACACTCAGACACTAACAGTGGCGGCTGGCCAATAGGGGGCGCTAGGGCGCTGAACCACCCACAGATTAAGGTAATGTAATATTAAATTAATAAGTAAAATATTTCAAAATATATTCATATATATATTTTTAGATATGCAAGATAAATATTTAATCTTTAATTACAGAGAGAGAGAAATTTTTCCAGGACCTTGTTTAGCAACAAGGCTTGGCTAACTGCATGCAGCGAGGCTAAAGCTTTCTTCTGCTTTCCTAGGCTCCTTTTTCAAACGTCAGGATCTGACCCAGCATAGATAAGGACAGCTAGTACTGATTTAAAGCATTTTTTAGAAAAGGCAAAGAAGAATGAATAATCTGGGCTTCACATGGAAAATAGAAAATAGTGTAGCCAGGAAAAAGTACACTTGTTTTATGGTTTAACGGTCACCGTTTCCTGCATGATGCATAATTTGTCTCATCTTGTATGTGTATCAATATTTTTTAAATCTTGATAAGCTGCCAAGCCCTGAAATCAGACACCATGAAACCAAATCACAGGACATCTTCTAAAGGCGATAAGTCTTATAAGCTCAGTTTTTGTTGGAATCAAACAGCCTGTCAGACAGAAACCCAGTCCTGAGTTTATCTCAGCGAGGTCATGAAGATCATACTCCTCACCTGAACAACCGCCTTGCTCCCGATAACCTCCAGGACCTGCCCGCTCCTCTTGGTGCCATCTGGGAGGGTCAAGTGAACAATCTCAGCGTACCTGGGAAACTAACAGAGACGAGCGGGGCGGGGGTCACGCCTTTTTAACCAGAGATGGTTAAATCTAAAACATGAACATCACTCAACATGAAATTAGATCCCCAACACTAGCTTTCCGGTGGGTGTTGCCTTAGAACAGATCATTTCTAATGGCCTTACCTTCACATGGTCCAGGATAACCAGAGGTCCGTTGACTCCAGACACAGTGGAATAGGCTGAAACACAACATGAGGCGTCTCTATTAAACCACCAACAAAAACCATTGCTTAGCCAGTATCACCTTATCTAAGGCATCGATAATCTGGGGAGCATCGGCCTAGTGGTTAGAGCAGTGCCCTTGTGCTCTGAGGACGTTGCAAGTAAGCTTTAAGTGTGCCATCAGTTACAGTTAAGTAATTTTATTATTCATTTTTATTCTCATAAATTAGTAATATAACTACCTTTATGTCAATGTAATGTACTTTTCTGTTTTCCTTTCTAATATCATTTCTTTGTGTACAGTAGTTTTATTTTTTTGCTATTGAAATGAGCCATAATCTAGCTTGCCTTGCTTGAATTATTAGGGCACAGAGTGAAGATGGTTGGTTAAGGGAGAATTTAACTCAAGTCATCACTTCATTCCGACTCCATTTCTGGAGACTTTCTGAGCCTAAAATGGAACAAATGTTTCTTACAGATGTGCTCTCACTGTTGTTAATCACATCAAAGCGCTGATTTATCAGCGGTTTGTTATAGGCTGACTGTATGATGCCATTTACAGCTCAGGCTGACTCAATGTTTTAAGGGTTTTTCAACTTGGAGAGGCACCATGGCTTCTCAGGCCCACTGGTCAAATAAACATTATACACGAGTTCCCCGAATAAAGTCGATTCCAACAGAAGCCAGTTAAGGTTTAATGTTTTACCAATTTCCAAAGGAAGGTAGAGCACTCACTGACTTTTACTCAGGTAATAGCAGCATCACCTTCACATGTTTTTACTTGTGATAGCAGAGAAGTCATCTAAGAACAGGGTTTATACAGGAATGAGTAACTAATGCTTTTTAATTATCTTAGAAATAATTTTAATGCCATCAAAAAAAAAATATATATATATATATATATAAAATGGCAAAATCCTTTGTAATCTTTACGGTCAACAGACTGCAGCCATGTCCCAAATTCCACATTTTCCAGCCACTTTCGTTGAAATCTGCATATTCAATTCAATTCAGTTTATTTCTATAGCTCCAATTCACAACTCATGTCATCTCAAGGCACTTTACAGTTCACCAGATCATCCAGTCAGATTGATTCAAAGTTTTCTATCTAAGGAAAACCAGCTGATTGCATCGACTCATTGACTTTAAGACAATCCCTCACCAAGCATGCTTGTAGCGACAGTGGAGAGGAAAAACTCCCTTTTAACAGGAAGAAACCTCCAGCAGAACCAGGCTCAGTGTGAGCGGCCATCTGCTGAGGCCGACTGGGGTTCAAGGAGACAGAAGCAGAGATACAAAAGGCAGCTGTTAACCAGCTCCACAGGCGGCCCCATCCAGGAAACACTCAGCCAGGCAGTAGAGCTCCAAGCCAGCTCCCATGTCAGAGGATGAAGAGAGCAAGGAATGGCGGATCAAGGATGGTGGGTAAACAAGAATAATTCTTCTTCCTCTCAGATGTAAACACAGAAGCATGGTGGGGGTGCAATGAGTGAAATTGAGTTCTTTCTGTCAAATTGACAAACCGTAGAAGCCACGGTTGCTCGGCCATGTCTTCGTCCAAATACGTCATCGTCTTTTCTTTTTAGGACTTTCAGCACAAAATTGCGCTAATAGGCTTAATAAGGTAGCGCGTTTCATTCTAGTGAGTTTAATATTTAAAAGGAGGCATGGACATTTCTGTCTTTTTCCTCTTCTACTCGATTGACTTCTGGATAGACGAGTCCAAGTAGCGCCATCTCCCGTGGAGCTGAGTCCGACATGGTGTTTAGACGTACAGTGTGAACAGGTAGATCGTATAAGATTGTCGGGTCGCACAGTGCGAGAACAAACAATGAGCTGTGAACTTTTAAACCATGAGGTTTCGTCGTACACTTTTAGCTGTAGCTGCGTGCAACGAAGGAAAAAAAAAGTATTCGCACAATGTAGGAGAAGCTCTCTGCCTAATCCTGTGGTTTTGTGTAACAGACCTCCATCTCCAGTCATCCTCATACAGTTTTCTATTTTCACTTGGGGGGGGGGGGGACGATAGTTCAAGGTACCCACTTATATGTATTGTAACAATTAAGTACATGGTTTGCTCTTTAATTTTACAAGGTAACAAGTGCTCAATGGGCTATATGTTCATGGGGTGTGAAGGAGCAACATTTCCCATTAGGTTTGGAAAACTTTCTCCACCCCTCTTTTGCTATTTCAGCTCAAGTGCAGCGGTTCTCTGGCTTGGCATGCAACAGCATTGCGGGTCACCCTGCAGCCTGTTCAGCTGCCAGAGCCCTTTGTGTACAGAGATGTTAATTGGTTCTAATCCGCCACTAGAAGCTGTTTTGGTAGCCTGACCTCGCACCCTGAAGGACATCTTGGTGTGAAATACTAAAGAGCCCATTCAAGTGGGAAAGAAAAGAGGTCCAGAGCATTCCAACACAATTCAATTTCCCCACTGAAAGAAGGAGAGGACTCAAAGGAAAAGGGGGGAATAGGTGCTTGGATGAAGATGGGAGTGCATCATCATTCTGGCAATCAATGAACAGCACAAAGCAGTGGCTGCTGTGATGTGCAGCTTCACAATCACATCTTAGCCTCTACTTGAAGGGATTCCCACAGTTAAACTGAACATGGGAATGCTTGCTGCCTGGAGGCTGCAGAGCCTCATCAGCGCTGGAAATGAGCGCATACAGAAACGAAGACGCATCGGGAAGCAACGACTTTCATTCCCAGTCAGAATTTCCTGTTAAGGCAATATGAAAAGCAGAAGCACAAACCGCTCCAGAATCTCTGAACTCAGGGCTGTTCGTTTGTCTTTGCTTTCACATCCCAGCAGCAGAAATGATTGTACGTATTAGGGCTGTAACTAACGATTATTTTGCAAATCGATGAAAGGGACAATTAATTTTCTGATTAACTGATTAATAAAATACTTTTTACCAAATTAAACCGGGTCCACTTGAGGAGTTCTGGATAGAGCAGATTGATGAAAATGTTTTTTATCTTAAATGCAAAATGTTTACATATTTTTTTACAATCTTGGTATAATCATTGCTGTAATTGGGTCAGCTAAAGACACGTGTTACAGTCTTTACACTCCAGTTAACGATTAATTGATTGTTTAATTAGTCGACGCTATTTCAATAATCGATTCATCCGGGGTGCAATTGCTTTCCTCATATCTGCTTTCTGTTTTTCCCTCTTTGCCTGATACAGAATTATGAAGTAATTCAGAATTGGTGAAAAAAGGATGAACTGCCAAGTTTGAATGAGTACGTTTGATATTTACAAAATTATTTAATGCTTAGACTGCTGCCTCTGCGACCCAGCCCCGGATAAAGTGGAAGAAAACAGATGAATGGAAAAAATTATCCCTCACTTGAAAGTTTTTTCTTCTATTAAATGTAGATTATCTAATTTCTTTGGCAAATTGTCTGACTAAGCTGCTCAAAACCAGGGAAAATGCAATTTCACAAGAAAAATCAACTTACTTTTATTGCAATTTTTGTAGCGTATGAACTTTAGTACTTGATTAATCTAACAGGAATGTATTAAAATGATCTCAATAGAAATACTACTAAATATAATAGCTGAATAAACAATTATTTTGTTTTTTGGATTATATAAGTAAATATATTGTAATGGGCAATATACCGGTAAGCAAAAAAAAATAAATAAATAAATAAATCAATGCTGTAAATGTGGTTGGAATAATATCTTCTACTCTGAAATACTTTGGGATGTAGTGAAAACGACAACGATTACAGCAATTCGACCATTAATGGAATCTGTTAGCAGCAAAATAATCAGGCTAACGTTGCTAAATTGGATTTTGTTAGTCATGTTAGTTATTTAAATTCAGCCCTACTTCCTTCCGCAAAAAAAAAAAAAAACGTCTTAAGATGAGGAGTTTCAGGAAGTGAGTCATGAGCGGTCAGAAAAACATTCCCGAGGTCTGGTGTCTCTTCATGCTATAGACAGAAATGGTGTCTAAGCTTTGATTTTAATGCCCTTTCAGGAGAAAGAATAAAGACTTACGCCCACTGGACTCTTTCTCTCCTCTGACAAGCTAGCTGCTTAAGCCTTATTAGAATGTGAATTGCAGAGGTGTTTCAAAACTGATTTTATAGAAATTATTTCCGTAATGACAGATGAAACATTTGTTTATCATGACTACATTATTACCAATAATTAAATCTTCACAAAGAAGTAGTGACTTGCTCGTTTCCTTTTCATAGCACTAAATGACAGAATGCAACGCTAAAACAAAGACGAGTCATTTTGACTGTTAATAGCTTTTGTCCCATTTGACACGAGAGAGACAAAGGCCTCTTAAAAGGGAAGACAAGGTCTGATGAAAAGTCTCCTTATTTGTTTATTTTCCTGCTCTGTCTCGACAAGGCTTTTCACTAGCTTCATCTATTAGGTTGCTGGCAAATGAATACAGTAAAGCACCTTAAAGCTGTGATCTTATAGGCTGGCGTTGCGCTATAGTAAAACAGCTGCTGTCAGACTCGGTCTGCATCAAACACAAGTAGCAGTTATACAGGGGGAAGGTTCGGGTTATCAAATCAAGCAAAGATTCAATCTGATGCAGACATGCTAATATCAGAGTTTAAACTACGCATCATGCAGCGCTAGTTTCTGATAACCAAACAAAGAAAAGTCACGGATGCAGAGTTTCACAACAAACTAAATATAAAGCAAGAATAGAAATGATTGAATGGGTAGCTGCGTCTTTCAGAGGCTTCACATCTCCACATGCTGGTTTGAAGCCGTTAACCCTTTTGTTCATGTGTCTCTGGGTTTCAACAAGATCATTTATTACAATCCCAAACACACAGATAACCTGTTTTTTTTTTTCATTGCTTTTCAGTCTGAGGATGTGTGGAGCGGTTCGCAGCCGAGTGTGAAGCGGCCGGGATGACGATCAGTGCCTCCAAATCAGAACACATGGTCTTGAGCTGGAAAAGGGTAGAGAGCCTTCTCCAGATTGGGGAGGATGTGCTGCCCCTAGTGGACGAGTTTAAGTATCTCA